CATTTAGATTGATTCCATGTCTTAGCAATTGTGAATAGCATGATAATAAACATCAATGTGCAAGCACTTTTCCAATGAAGAATACTTCTGTCCTTTGGGTAGATACAAAGGAGTGGGATTTATGGATCATATGCTAGTTCTATCTGTAGAATTCTGAGGAATCTCCAAATTGTTCCCCACAGTGGCTGGACCAGTTTGCATACAAAATCTTTTTCCAGACCTTCATTTTCAGTCTATGTATGTCCTTACCAGTGAGGTGTTTCTTGTAAGAACATAGAGATAGCTTCTGTTTTTGTATTCATCCAGTCTCTGTCTTTTAATGGGAGAATATAATCCATTAACATCCAATGTTATTATTAGTACTTGCAAATTTATCCTTGTCATTTTGTTAGCCATTTTCTCAGTTATTTTATGTTCTCCTCCTTCTGTTTGTCTCTCTTTACTTATCCTGATACAACACTCCCCTCAGTATTTCCTGTAGAGCTGGCCTATTATTTATAAATTCTTTTCATTTTTGTTTATCTGAGAATATTTTTATTTGTTCTCCCCACTTGAAGGAGAGCCTGGCTAGATACAGTATTCTTGGTTGAAATTGTTTTTCTTCTAATGTTTTGAATACATCTTTCAATTCTTTCTTTGTCTGTATTGTTTCAGTTGAGAGGTCTGATCTTTATAAGTACCTTAATGTTTCTCCCTTGCCATTTTTGGAATATTGTCTTTGTCTTTAATCTTGACTAATCTGACTATAATGTGTCTAGGGGGAGGATCTTTTCATGTTGATTCTATTTGAGCTCCTTTTTATTTCTTGGGTCTGAATTTCTCCATGTTTCTCTATATTTGGAAAATTTTCAGAAAACATTCATGAGAGAGGGTCTCCATGCTGTTAGTAGATTTCTCACCTTCTGCAATACCCATTATATGGATATTTGTATATTTCATGGTGTCAAGAATTTCATGTATGTTGTCCTCATTTTTTTTTTGGTTGTTTTTCTTTCTTTCAGTGATTTGTTGCATTGAAGATTTTATCTTCTAGGTCAGAAATTCTTTCTTCTGCATGGTTCAATCTGCTGTTAATGCTTTCTAGGGAGACTTTAATTTCTTGTATTGTATTATTCATTTCCAGAAGTTCAGTTATATTCTATTTTAGGGTGTCTATTTATTTATGAAATTCCTCTCATGTCCTGAAATGATTTTCTCATTTCTCAGAACTGATTGTTTTCTCTTGCATCTCAATGTGTTTTGTCACAATGAATATTCTGAATTCTTTTTCTGACATTACTGTGTATTTCTCTATGTTATCCACTGTTTAAGGGGCTACTATGCTCACCTGGAGTAGAATTGTCAGCTTATTTTTCATGTATCTTTGAGATCTGTCCTAGTTTCTAGTCATGTGATGAAATATTCCCTTTTCAGTATTTATTGGAGTAGATTCTGTAGTGCTGGTAGAGGAAATTATGCCCTTAGTTCTCAGTTGATTTCCAAATGGGGAGGTCTGTCTACCTGGTCAGAGAAGTTGGGGGTGACTTCAAGTGCTTAGCTACTCTCCCAAACATTTGGCTTTTGATGAAGGGGTAGTGAGCTAAGGAGATACCACTTAGGGAAGAGGGCCAATTTTCACAGTGCCTAGATTGTTGTATTAAAAGTTCAAATGTAACTCGCAAGCCCCAAGCATGGACTCACCCAAGGAGACCTCCCCAGACCAAGCTTAAGTATCTTGGTAGGTGGCGGGCAGGGCCTCAAGATGAAATCTTACATACTAGTCATCAAATACTAGAATAGTATAAGTGAGGACCTGACACAGAAGTCTTTGTAGGCTTAACCTGTAGGGGCTGAGAAAGAAGGACTTTATAACCTTATGTGGTTTCAGAAATGACCATAACAAGACATGCATTTTAATTTCTGTCACCTTCCCCAAGTTCATCCACTCAGAAGAAGGGTCCTCAGAACAATACAATCATAGGTGCATAGCTAGACTTGTATATTCAGTGATCTGGCATTCAAAGGTTCATGATATTACACTAATTACAAATACTTAAATCATTCATATGTTGGCATATACACAAGCTTATACAAGCACATACTCATACTCACAGGCAAATCAGTCCCTTATACAATTGTTTATTAACATACTTTTTAAATACAGGCATCAACACACATGACACATAAACATTTTTTATTCCACAACCTATTCCTTAAACTGTAAATATTCATACTCAGACTACCAAACATATGTGCATATAGATAGTTCATATTTATGTAGTCTCCACTATACAACTTCTCCCACATGCCGGCAAATTCCCTGCGCTTGCATTTCTGTATTCACAGGAGAGAGAAAAGTTAGGAGTTAATGATCCAGTTTTAGTCTCCTGTCTCAGAGGAAGCCAGTGTGAGTAGGAGGTAGAGAAGCTTAAGGGGAGGGAGACAACTGACGCTTGAAAGGGAAGGGAAAGACTGGACACAGTCCTTTAAATAGGCCCTATTCTGAGGTCTTTGCCCAAGACTGTATTACAGGAGATTCTTAGAACTGCTTATAATCATGCCAACTGAGTCAAAGATGAAGGAAAGCTTAGAGTGAGTGATTCACTGTGCCTCAGGTGCAGCTACCCCTGAGAAGACAGTAGGACTCACAGGCTCTATGCATCTGGAAGGAAAGGCAAAAATCTGTCTAGAAGGACCTATAACACTAGGAGATCCAGGTCCAGAGATCCATGATCACTGAGCTTCATACTGAGTTGGGAAGAAGATTCAGCATTCTCTCTGTTTTCTCCATGGGGTCCTTGGAAAGGTAAGGATATACCCTGAACACAATCCCTCTCTAAAGAAGATAGACTTGAACCCACCTTGCTCCAGCTTACTTTCAGATACTCTAAAGGGAAAAAAAATGGTCTACAATCCCTGAAACAATCTTTCCCAAGAAAGAAAATAATAATACTTGGAGTTATTATGTTCTAAACTATTTTTTATGGAGAAATAAACTTTATTGTTTTAAATTAGTTTATATGAAACTTACATGATGGTTTTGATATTAAGCACTTGTTAGTTAAATCAAAATGCAGTATTTAGGCTGTATAAAGGGTTCAAAATAGGGAAATGTATTGATAAGAAATTTACCAACTCACTTATATTTTAAAACACTAATATAAATTACATTTCTACACCAACCTTTAACAAGAACAAACTCTATCAGGGAAGTAACAATAGCTAAATTAAAACAGGTTAATCAAAATCACTTTAGAGAGCCAGCACAGGCAGATGGACTACTGCATTTTAGAGTTCAAGCCCTGTTGCCATAAGACCTGAATCAAACCTACAGCGGATCCTTGGGCCCTATACCCTCACAGCACAACCCCTTCCCTGGGGAACCTGATGATCCAAGGGAACCCAGGTACTTCAGGGGCCCTTGTAGACTTCCCATGGAGCTGTGGAAATATAAGGCAGCTTGAGAAAGGCTGGAGCCTGCACTCAGTGTCAGCCATGATACATCTGCTGTCATTATCTTTTTTCCTCATCGCATTGAGCTTTCTCTCAGCCAGCATAGCCGCCATCCAGCTTTCTGAGCTCTTTTCTCAGAAATGCATCTCCTCTTCATAGGTAAAGTTGTTGTCATCAATTTCTTTGTTATTTACATTTAAACACTGTATGTATTTACAATGTACAACACTTTTTTTCAGCATGAATACAGTCCATATTAGTCAAGTCAAAGACATTACCGTATGAATTTTCATCAGCAAATAACATTCCAGTTTTATGCCTGTTCTTTCTCCATGCCTTTGGCCATCTTTTTGTAGAGGTTGTAAATCCGATAATGTGCAGTTCATGCCTCTAAACATGCAGTGAAATTTCTCGTCCATCTCTAAGCAGTGTTTGTCCTTTACTGTAGTTGCATCACATAACTCAGGGAAAATCTGAATCTTCATGCAAAGGTTCAGAATGTCACTCCTAAACTGTCTATTTTCAAACTGCAAATACCGATGCTTAGTTTGGAGACTGTTTTTGCCCCATGAGCTCTTTCCTTATTATATTTTATTCTCGGACTTCTCTAAATGTTTCTTGCTTTTCTTGACAGCCACAGGACACATCAAAGTTCTCTTCATCAATTCTACAGATTCATGCCTGCATTATAGTTGGCATTTTCTGCTTCTCTCTTTAGCTTCACTTCTGAGTTCCTGGGATCCTCTGGTAAATACGTGTTATCCAGTCAGTTTCCTGTACTAGACTTTACTTGGCTCATGGAATCTTTTGTGACCTGTTTTATTTGTGCATTCTAACTTCATTTGTAATACCATAAATACAATTAAAAGATACACATTAGCTTTACTTGATGAAGTAAAATTATATTGACAGTTGGAATTATTCCAGTTTATCATTAAATCAAATAGACAAAGAAGCCATCTGTAGAATATAGAAGTCTTATAAATAATAATAACTTTGATTATTATCATTTGCAGAGAGTAGATTACCTTCTTCATGGAGAATGTATAAACCATCCAGTGATGTGGGCCACAGGGAACAGTTCTTCTCCCCCTGTGTCCTTCATCCTGCTTGGAATCCCAGGACTTGAGAACTCCCAGTTTTGGATTGCCTTTCCATTCTGTGCCATGTATGTTGTGGCCATAGTGGGAAACATCATTCTCCTCCATGTGATCCGAACTGACCACACCCTGCATGAGCCCATGTACCTCTTTCTGGCCATGCTGGCTGTCAGTGACCTGGTCCTCTCCTCCTCCACCCAACCTAAAATGCTGGCCATTTTCTGGTTTCATGCCCATGAGATTGAGTATCATGCCTGCCTCACCCAGGTGTTCTTCATCCACGCTTTTTCTTCTGTAGAGTCAGGGGTGCTCATGGCAATGGCCTTGCACCACTATGTAGCTATCTGCTTCCCACTCAGGCACTCCAGTATCCTGACAACCTCTGTGGTGATCAGACTTGGGGCAGCTGTGCTGATGAGAGGGCTGCTATGTGTAAGCCCCTGCTGCTTCATGGTCTCTAGAATGCCCTTCTGCCCTAACCATGTCATTCCCCAGGCATACTGTGAGCACATGGCTGTACTGAAGTTGGTGTGTGCTGATACTAGAATAAATCGTGGGTATGGGCTGTTTGTGGCCTTCTCTGTGGGTGGCTTTGATATGATTGTCATCGGTATATCGTACGTGATGATTTTGAGAGCTGTGCTGCAGTTGCCCTCAGGTGAAGCCCGCCTCAAAGCCTTTGGCACCTGTGCCTCCCATATCTGTGTTATCTTGGCCTTGTATATCCCAGCCCTTTTTACTTTCCTCACCCACCGCTTTGGCCATCATGTACCCCGAGCGGTACATGTCATGTTTGCTAATGTCTATCTTCTGGTTCCTCCTATGCTCAACCCTATCATCTATGGTGTTAGAACCAAACAGATCAGAGACAGGGTTATCCAAGGATGTTGTGGAAAAGAACCCTGAGCCAAAGGTCCCAGCATCACCAATTCCAATTGCCCCATTGGTGTGGGGATATAAGTGAAGAATATTTACCAGGACATTACATATCATCACAGTGTCATCTCTTTGAACAACTTGCTTATCCAACACTCCAAAAGAAATGAACAATTTTCAGAACCCAGAACAAGAGTTCTCTGCAAGATCCAGTGGGAGATAGAAACTGAGTTGGCCTATGTTCCTTATCACAAGAGCACAATAAAAACTTTGTTACCATTTCCTCACCTCTCAGGATAAAACAACAATCACTAATCAATTCTGCCTACTTCTCCCAAAAAAGACAAAGTATTTATGTGCACACAAGGCAGGCTGTGTATTTATAAATTTCCTCATTGCCATGGACACTTGAGGGAAGGAATTTATTGATAAGGGGCCTAAAATACCCAGAATGCTTTCTCAAAATTAGGATAATGGGCCAGCCAGAGGCTTGATGGTTAAGCTGGATCCCACAAGGATAACTTTGTGATTCCACTTCTAGACCTAGTGACTTAAGAAACACACACAGTGAGTATAGCACATAGCATACTGGTTAAATCACTGGGTCCCCACAATGCTGACTGCAGTTTGAGTCCTGGACCTGGTGGCTTGGAAATCACACTGGTGCGTGTGTATGCATACTCAAGATCCCAGCAGGAGAATGGAGGATAAAGGATTGTGGTGTGGCCATCCCCATGGGGAGGGTGATTTCTCACTTTCCTACTTGCTGTCTCTGTCTCTGTCTGTCTCTCTAGGAGGTGCGCATGCCATAAACACACACACACACTGGGCACAAGTTTGTGCTTGCCCAAAATCCCAAAAGAAGGGAGACATAGACATAGATGAAAAGGGATTGTCAGGTGCTTCACAGAGGGTGCTTTCTTACTTTCCATGTCTCTGTGTGTCTCTCTCCAGCAACTAAATGCACCCTCTGGCAATTTTTTTTTTTAAGTAGCATAATTTTTTTGAAGTAAGAAATGTGGATCAAGCACCCATATCGGACATGGAGAAGACAGAGCCTCACATTGAACTCATCCTTACAATCTAGACAGAAGGGATAGAGTTCAAAATAAAACCAGATACTTAATAAATATGATCCAAGTAATATTATGACACAACAAACAGGGCACAAAGAATGAAAAAACATTTCATGTGAGGTGTTTTTCAAGGAACCAGGACTAGGATTTGAACTGAGTTCAGCCATGTAAGATCACTTTTCACTGTAAAACACTTAACTGCTATGCTACAGGGTTGACCCAAAGTAAATAGTTTTAATGGTTCACATGAACCAAAACATGAAGGAAATTTGAAGTAGATGAATCAGCATTTGCAAAGCTAACGAGCCATGAAATATATAAAGAAAACAGCAAAGTGGTTATGGAGACAAATGAAGCTACAGAGAAAAATAGGAACTATCTTTCTGAGAATCCTAGCTTTAGGACAGAGCCCCTCCTGTGTGTGTATTAACAGGGAATTCTGAGTTAATTCAGAGTATGTTTCTCTGTCCTGCCTAGAAATCATTGCACATTCTAATGGAGACTGGACTTTGGAGAAGGGTTGTGATCCTCATTCCTAAATCCTCGTGTAATCCCTATTGCAATACTTAGGGGGAAATAAAGAAAGAAAAAGCTGGGTTCTTGGGAAAAAAGAGAACTCTGACAGGTTGACTGGTCCAGATCAAGGAGGCAGAAATCATGAAAAAAGTCCTTAGAGGGACCAGCAGTTAGCGTAACGGCGATGTCACTGGACTCCCATGTAGTCGACCGTGATTTAAGTCCCAGAACCGGCGGCTTAAACTCACGCCGGGTGCATGTGCATGTGTGCCCAAATTCCCGAGAAGAGACTATAGGAGAAGGGAGAAAGGATTGTGGCGTGGCCATCTCCCCTGGGGGGTGATTTCTCCCTTTCTGTCTCTCTGTCTCTCTCTGTCTTTCAGGCAAGCACATGTGCCCTGTAGCAAAAAACTCTCCAAAAAAAGAAGGGGGGAAAAAAAAAACAGTCCTTAGGATGCTGCAAGTAAATAAATACAGTACAAGGAGAAGGGTGAACATGATTGCAAAAGTAAGTCTCTCTTTCTTCCTTTATTTTTTCTTTACCTTTTCCCTCCTTTTGTCTCTTCTATCTCTCTCTCTCTCTCATCTCAACCATCTTTTTGATTTATCATTTCTTTAAATTCAGCATCCATAAAAAGGGAAAAGTGTTCAAAACTGACCCTAGACATAGTGTAAAAGTCATTTCTGTTTTTAGACACAATTTACTTCACTGTGGCTCGCTTTCATACTGAGAATAAATACTTGAAGTGTTTAGTCTTAATGCTATAAATCTGAGCCTGTGATTTATCAACATTACCCTTACTGGATATAGACCAATTTTGTTAGGCTTGATTTAAGGAAAATATATGTTTATTAACATATAAAAAGTGGTTTCCAATTCAGATAATATTCTAAGACTCACTGAGCTGTCATAATTCCCAGTGTTTTAAAAATAGCTTGTGTTTATTACTTGGTTGTCTCTTCATAGAGTACGTTTTCCTGCCAAATGTCAGTGCAGTAGTTAGCCATCCTCCAATGCCAACACTGGGAACTATGCACCCTTTACTCTAAGCACATACACACAGATGAGTCTCATGTTTTCAGGGTAAGGGAATTCCCAATTCTGAGTCTGTTTTCTGTCCTCTATTAGCTATGTGATGGATGCTGTAAGAAATATCACCCTTCCATGAAGAAGCCTGCACTATCTCTATAAGTCCATGTATTTCTCATGGTTCTTTAGTTTCATGGGGGAAGATGCTCTTACTTCTACCCAATCAAAAACATAGTCCATTTTATTAATTCTAAGCCCAAAGTTCAACTTCTATACCTCATTGAAACTTGCTTGGTCTGCTTCATCTACACTTCCTTCTCCACTGGTCAAAGGTTGTCCCTAGATACAGTCATCTGGGCGTGAGATGTACTCAACTGATTTCATCCCCAATGTAATTTGTTCTAACTGCTGGCAGTCAAGTTAAGTATAGCTGGGAGGACATGAGGTATGCTGTGAGTGAGCCCCTTTACTCCATATTCTCTGGATGCCCTTTTGTATCACCAGATCATCCCCAGATCTACTCTTGAGCAAGTGACCATGCTGAACCCAATGCGTACTGACCTAAGACCATGTCTGTGGTTGCTTAGGGCCTTCTCTATGATTGCATTTGGTATAGTTGTCATTTCATGACATTGTAGACATTTCTTTTTCTTAGAAGCTTAACATTTTCAGCTTTCAAATGTAAGCTTTTGTTATATCTTAAAGATTATTTTACTTTGAAGTAGAAGTTGGGGTTCATCAATGAAAGAACAGGAAATATCAGTTGCTGCAATTAAAAAGCAAGATGCTGAAAAAAGTGGAGATCTAGTATCTTTGAGCAGTGAGAAATCTGTCATGTCCGTATATGATCAGCAGAGGTACTACAGAAACAAAGGTCAACAGAGGTAAGAACTAAGAACTATGAGACTATGGACATGGCCTAGCTTTCTACACAGTCATATTAAAGCTTCCCCATGTCCTTATGTCAATATTGTCACCCACATTTTTTTTTTAATTTAAACTTCCTTTCCAAACATCCTTCTCTGTTCTACCCTGGCAACCCTAAAATAGCATACTGGTGAGGCTACAAGTTTATTGTATCCAAATTTAACTGTTTCTCTGTCCTACCTAGAAATTGTTACACATTCTAATGGAGACTGGATTTAGGAGCAGGATTGTGAGCCTCATTCTTAAATCCTTGTGCGTCCTGACCAGGTACCAGCTTTGGAAAGTCACAAGTGCAGAAAGTCCTGGAGGAGGGCCAACCAGGAAAATACAGATCTATTTGATTTATTCTCCTTATAGACTGCTTTCCTCAAATAGTTTTGGAAAGTAGTGAGATTATCCTGAGAAGTAACTTTCACAGGACCCTGGGTGACAAGTGTGCTTAGAACCATGTGGCATCTGGAGCCAAGGTAGAGTCAGGAGGTACAAAAATGCACTCCTCAGAGGAAGTGTCACATTGTGTTTGGGGTAAAGAAATGGATCTAAAAAATAAAAAGAGAGAAAAGAACATAACCTGCCTCTTTGCTGTGTTATTTTATTATATTAAAAACTTCACACAGAAAGAAAAAGAGACAATGAAAAACAATATGCAATATGAGATAAAATCAATATTAAAACATACAATGTCAGGCTGATCCCCCAAAATAACAAAACCTTGAATATTTCCTATGGAAATGCACCTTCCTAATAACACATGTATATCTCTGCTTTACTAAGCTGGTATCTGAAAATAAATCATGCTCCTTATAAACGATGATCACAATCCACCGTATACATTGAAAGGACTCTAAGAAATTGGATAACTTTTTAATATCCCCCCTCTCCTGTAAATGCATTTGGGTCTTAAATTTTATGTGACATATCTTCTGCAGTGTAATTGACCTCCAGTCTTTAAAATAACTCCCAAGGCCAGCAGGTGGCATCGTGGTTAAGGGATCCGGATTCCCACATGGCTGACCAAAGAGCACCCCACTACAATGACCACAGGAGAAACTGAGAAAAGGATATACCACAGGGGAAGTACCAGGGTGGGCCCCACCTTGATGTGG